TGTGTTCTCTCCTGAATGTATTCCCCCCTTTCTTTCCTCTTATAGCATTATAAGCAAGTTTTCTTCAATAAAAATGATCTTGCTTTACTGTCACTATCACTGTCCTCCTGTTGTTCATTGATTTGCTCGAGCGGGTCCAGTAACATTGTGAAACCTGTTACTGTGTTTGGCATATCGAATGTGTCATGGGTAGCTTGCCAGGCTTTGCCTTGCAGGCAAGATACTCTCAGTAGCTTGCCAGGCTCTCTGAGAGGGGCAGAGGAATCGAATTTGGTTGGCTGGGTCAGCCACATGCAAGGCAAACGCACTATCTGCTGTGCTATTGCTAAAAGTCATAAAATAAAATAGTTTCTATATACTCTAAGAGATTGTAGAGACTCAAATTATTCTTTTGTTCAAGCATCTATATCATAATTATCATATTAATCTATAAAATGGGTAAAGACTTCTTAATCAACAATTAGGCATAATTGAAAATAGGCATATATGAAATTGTACCGAGGACCTGATGGTACAAGCATGAATGATCAAGTACGACATCATTGGTCTGACCGATACAAGAAGGCATGAATCTCACCATGCCGTTTTTGACACTGGAGAAGAATTGTTCCTCGGAACATGCGATAAAAGAGGTGTCGGAGGCATCGGTGTCCTTGTCAACACAAACTTGGCCAAGAGCATTGATTCATTCGAATGCCTAACAACCCGAATCGGACGTTTACATTTGAATAGATGTGGCTCACTGCCTGCAGTTTCTATCTTCGTTGTCTACGCACCAGCATCTCATTATGATGAAAGAGAAATCGAAAAGTTCTACATGGAGCTGGAGAAGTTCTATAAAGAAGACCACACCTTCTACAAGATCATTGTGGGTGATTTTAATGCCAAGATAGGAATGAGAAGATCAGCTGAAGAACTTCACATCGGTACCCATGGCCTAGAATGGAACGAACAGGGTGAGAGACTGTCTGAGTTCATCATGTCAACCAAGACCATCCATGGTAACTCACAGTTCCAGAAGGCAGAATCTAAACGTTGGATGTGGGAGTCTCCCGGTGGATGATTCGACAACGAAATAGACCACATCATATTCAATCAACGGTTTTGCCTGACTGATGTCCCAAAATTTTGAACGGGATCGGACTACCATCTCCTTCATTCAAAATTCTACTTCACAGAGTGGGGAGATAAGGCTGCAAAGTTCAAAAAGAGAACTCCCAGAATGACCACCAACTGGGAACTCTTTGACACTATTGCGGCAACATGGGAAGATGCCATTGTTGACAACATTGACGAGGAATACGATCGACTGGTTCAGCACCTCCATGAATGTGCGAGGAACGCCAAGAGAGTGATAGCCACAAAAAATCGCCTATCTTCGAAAACTCTTGAACTAATTCGCCAGCGTGGTTTGGCGCATGCCTCAGGCAACCGCAAGCTAACGTCCGAGCTCGCAAAGCAGTGCAGAGATGCGATCAAGGAGGACCTCAAAGAGAGAAGAGCAGAAGTACTGGTAGATGCGGCAGAAGCCGGGAAAAGTATTCGTAACGCCCGCCTGTCCTTCGCCAACTATAAGACCAAGATGACTACCTGTCTGAATGCAAGGTTCCGTCCCAGTGGAAAACCAGCAGGACCATAGTACTGTTCAAGAAGGGAGACATCCATGACATTGGCAACTGTCACCCGATCTGCCTATTGTCTGTCATCTACAAGTTGTTCACTCGAGTCATGTGGATTGGCAGAACAGTAGATGAAGGACAACCATGCGAGCAAGCCGGGTTCTGCAAAGGATTCAGCACCATCGACCATATCCACACGATAACCAAGCTCATTGAGGTTTCTCGGGAGTTCAAGATGCCGCTCTGTTTAACGTTCATTGATTTAAAGAAGGCCTTTGATTCTGTTGAGACGGAAGCGGTCATTGAAGCCCTAGCCAATCAGGGCATTCAAGCCCAATACATCAAGATCCTCCGTGAGCTGTATTGCGGATTCACTACCAGGATCTCACCATTCTACAAAGAAGTGATAGTTGATGTCAGGAGAGGGGTTCGGCAGGGTGATACCATTTCACCGAAACTCTTCAGTGCCACCCTCGAGAGCATCATGCGACGACTGGAATGGGAAGGAATGGGAGTGAAGATAGATGGTCAGCAACTACACCACCTCCGCTTTGCTGATGACATTTTTTTAATAACACCAAACATCAGCCAAGCGGCACAAATGCTGGCCGACTTTGACCGTGAGTGTGGAAAGGTAGGACTACAGCTGAATCTTACGAAGACAATGTTTATGAGAAACAGCCTCGTTCCTGATGCCCCATTCTCTCTCAACGGAATGACCATCTCGATTGCAACAGCTATGTGTACCTAGGTCGAGAAGTCAACATGAGAAATGACCTGGCACCCGAGCTGCGCAGGAGGAAGAGAGCGGCTTGGAACGCCTTCAAGAACATCGAAGAAATAGCTAAGAGGACGAAGAACCTCCGGCTCCGGGCACATCTCTTTGATTCCACTGTTCTTCCTGCATTAACATATGCCTCAGAGACCTGGGCCCTAAGCAAACAGGATGACAATGCTATTCAGGTCTCCCAAAGAAGAATAGAAAGAGCTATGCTTGGAATATCACGTTTCACTCAAATGAGAAAAAGAATCTGGAATTCCGACATCCGTCTACGATCAAGAATCAGGGACGCTGTCTCATTTGCCAAGGTGTCAAAAATCAGATGGGCTGGTCACGTAATGAGATTTAAAGACAACCGCTGGACTAGAGCTGTTACTGACTGGATTCCACAGGATGTCAAAAGACCACGTGGCCACCCACCTACCAGATGGTCAGACTTCTTCGTGAAGATCATGAACGATCAGTTTGAGGCTCTTCATAATCCCAGAGCGAACAGATTCCATTGGGCTACACTAGCACGTGACAGGGACAAATGGAGATGTTACTGGCGCCCGCTCGAGCAAATCGACGACTAACGGGAAGTTAAGTGATTAAGTGATTAAGTGAAATTGAAGAATAAGAAGACCACCCATGGGGAAAATGGTATTATTAACCCACAGTTTGCAAATGGATTATAAGCACAGTAAGTTGGAAGATGCAAAATGTATGGTAATAACTGATGTCATTGAATTAATCTCTTCATGAAATGTAAGAAGTTTACTTGAAGTCACATAGAGTTAAACAACAGATAGAAGCTCAATTCAGATTTTTGAGGAATACCCATATTGTCTTCCAAAAAAAGACCAGACCAGTCAACGTTTCCACCAGTACATGAATGAGGGTCCCCTTTTCCCCACATGCTTGTCACAACTGATTGTTGATGTTCCTTTTGATGAAAGCCAGTCTCTGTGGTGTGCCATGAGATCTCATTGTTTTGATTTGCTTTTCCCCGATGATTAGTGATATAGAGGAGTTTTTTATATGCTTTTTGGCCATTGAATTTGTTCTTTAAGAAAGTTCCTATTCAGGGGCTGGAATGATGGTATAGCCAGTAGGTCTTTTTTTCCTTGCATATGACTAACCTGGGTTCAATTCCCAGCATCTCACATGGTTCATGGAGTAGTGATTTCTGAGTGCAGAGCCAGGATTAACCCCTGAGTGTTGCAGGGTATGGCCAAAACAACAACAACAAAAAAAACAAAAACAACAACAACAACTACAACAACAAAAGAAACTTCCTTTTCATCTCTTCTCCCTCTATTTTTTGATAAGCTTGATGTTTGTTTCTTATAGAGTTCTACCAGTGCTCTATACATCTTGGATATTAAGCCATAGTCAGGTGAGTTGTAGAAAAATAAATTCTCATAGTCTATGTACTGCCTTTATATTCTGATCATTTCCTTTGAGGTGCAAAAGTTTTAGTTTAATAGATAGCACTATCTTCCCGTTATTCATCAATTTGCTTGAGCGGGCACCAGTGACATCTCCATTGTGAGACTTGTTGTTACTGTTTTTGGCATATCAAACAAGCCATGGGGAGCTTGCCAGGCTCTGCCATGCAGGCAAGATACTTTTGGTAGCTTGCTGAGAGGAACGGAGGAACTGAACCCGGGTGGGCCGAGTGCAAGGCAGATGCCCTACTTGCTGTGCTATCGCTCCAGCCTTAGTTTAATGTAGTTCCATTTTTTTGTCTCTGCTCCAAATTGCTTTCTACCCTATGACCCAGCAATTCCACTACTTGGAGTATACCCCGAGGGCCCAAAAGCGTAAATCAGAAAAGACATCTGCACTTCTGTGTTCACCGCAATACTATATACAAAAACCAAAATATGGAAACAACCCAAGTGCCCATCAACCTTTGACTCAATAAAGAAAGTATTATACACATACATAGTGGGACGCTAAGAAAAGATAAAATTATGCAATTTTCTGCACCACGAATGAATCTGGTGAGTAGAATAGTGAGCTAAAAGAAGCCAGAGGGAGAGGAACAGATTCAGAATGATCTCTCTCACATGTGTGATATAACGAAAGTTCATAGGGGAGTATTAAATGCCCAATGCAATTAAAAATAAAAAAGAGCAGGAATGGTCTTCAATGGGAAGCTTGACATTGGGGCAGCGGTGAGGGGTGAAAGTTAGGGATGGAAACACTGGGACAATGGGGAAGGACAAAAGTGCCATCCACAGAGGCAGACTGTGGGGTAGAAGGAAAACAGGACATTGAGAATAGTGGGCATTGGGGAAAAGGTTGGAGGTGGTACAATTTGCACCTGAAACTCAACCATAAATGTCTTTGTAACTTTGCAATTCACAGTGATTCAGTAGAAAAGAAAAGAAGGAAAAAGTATTAAGAAAAAAAAAAGAATTAAGCAACAGAGAGATCATGCCTAAAAATTTGTTGTGAGAGAATCAGTGTGCTAAAGTTGAGTGCATCTGATACTTGAGAGAACAAAATGAATTCTTGTTTTGAGATTTTGTTGATTTTTGTTGTTGTTGTTCTTGTTTGTTTATTTTGGAGCCACACCCAGTGATGCTCAGGAGTTACTCCTGTCTCTGAAACAGGAATCACTCCTGGTGGTGCTGAGGGGACAATATGGGATGTCAGAAGTTGAACCAGGGTATGCTGCATGCAAGGTAAGCACCTTACCTGCTCTACTATCAGTTTGACCCAAATGCTTTCAGTATCAAACAGAGTACTAAAACCACATTACCTGTGTTTATAAGTATTCAAGGAATGTTTTTGTGTACTTTTTAAAACAAGCTTTTTCATTTCTTTTCCATACGTTTTAATTCATTTCCTGGATGAGACCAGAATAAAGTCAATGAATAAAAATGCATGCCTATTCATTATATTTCAGGAGAATTTTTTTTAACGTCACACATATTTATATTCTCTTGTTCTAGAGTTATCCTAGACTAGTGTTCCACTGTTTAGGTTAAAGGGCCAGGTATTTTTAATATAAGCTGATTTCAGCTGAAACATTTTTTTTCATGCAAGCTGCTACTTGTTCTTTTTGAATAAATGTCACTTACTGTGTTTAAACTACCTTTTGGTTTTATGTTCATCCCCTTTTGTTCTGGCCTTTATTTTGCTTAAGCTGTATGATTAAGTGAGAATTGGATGATAATTTGAAATGATCAGTGTTATAACCTCGTCAAAATCAACTGAAATATATTTAGCAATTATTTAAATAAGCAATGCTACATAAGTAATTTCATCATTTCTTATTGTTATTTTTATTCACCAATTTATAAACAGTTCTGATTATATCCTGGTCCATTACAAAGTTGAACTCAGGTTTTCTGGTTTGGTTTATGTATCCATCCCCATGATTTCGCCCTTTTCCCTTTTTTTAAAAAAATTATCTTTATATTTTTCCTCTTAATAATATTCCTCCTTGGGGTTGGAGCAATAGCACAGCAGGTAGGGCATTTGCCTTGCATGCTGCCGACCTGGGTTTAATTCCCAGGATCCCCTATGGTCCCCTGAGCACCGCCAGGAGTAATTTGTGAGTGCAAAGCCAGGAGTAATTCCTGAGCTTCGCTGGGTGTGACCCAAAATAATAAATAAATAAACAAATAATATTGCCTCCTATGTCCTATGGGCTGGAGCGATAGCACAGTGGTAGGGCATTTGCCTTGCACGCAGCCAACATGGCCGACCCGAGTTCGATTCCTCCGCCCCTCTCAGAGAGCCTGGCAAGCTACCGAGAGTATCTCGCCCGCACGGCAGAGCCTGGCAAGCCACCCGTGATGTATTCGATATGCCAAACACAGTAACAACAAAGTCTCCAATGGAGACGTTACTGGGCCTGCTCAAGTAAATCGACGAACAACGGAGGGCCTTTACCTTTTTTACCTTTACCTATGTCCTATGTTCCATTTCCATTTAAGTGCAAGTTGAACTCAGAGAATCCTTTGTCCTTCTGTTTTATCATTGAGTATTAGATTATTAACAATAATTTAAATCTCAGATTTCCTCTATGAACATTCTTATTTCATGGACCCCAGGTATAACTTTTAGGAATAGTTTTTGTTCATGTAATGTACAGAAGTGGAAAAGTACTAAAAACTAATCTTTTAACTAGAAATCTTTTTGCATTATCACTTCTACTGACATTCAATGTTAATGTCTTTTTTTTCTGTTCTTGGACTTTAGATTTTTATTTTATCAATACAAGTAGCAAATATAGAAAAACTTATTTCAGCAGATAGTTTTTGATTATGAAAGGATTATTTAATTTCTCACTTATTCTCTGCATTCTTTCTTTTTAAAACAAAAATGTTTTGTATTGTGTCACCCTGATTTTCAAAATTATTCATAGTTGACTTTCAGCCATACAATGTTCAAACACTAATCCCATCATCAGTTCCCCAGTTTCCCTTCCACCCTGCAACCTACCTCTTTCACTGGCACAATTTTAAATTTGGTTGTTGTAGTTTGGATCTCATGATTTCAGTTTTTATGGTTCTTTGCTTCAGATACGTAAATATGCCAGACTGCCAACTGTCAATCCATTTCCTTATTTTCCTTTCATTCCCTTACCACAGATAATGGAGATAGATCTTCCAGTATTTATCTTTTTCTTATGATTAACTTCACTTACGGTGATATTCTCCATTGTATAATATCTCCGGGGACAGCCTGGGGGAGGCCCTGACAGCTCTCCCACTAGTCGCCTGGGTTCTGGAGGGCTCCAGACCACTCGCCCAGCCAGGGCGGCCCACGTCATGCGGCAGACAGTGGACCAAACAAGGGCCAAAATCGTGTGATTGATCAGTTACCGTTTATTCCATTCTCCCCAAGTGCCTGACCCAGTCTCTCTGAGCCTCCCATTCTAGTCTCACACTGCTGCTCATTGTCTCTTCCTGTTTCTCCTGCTCATCTCTCCGTGCTCCATCTTGCAGCCTAGGCTGTCTCTCTCCACGTGCCTGCTCCTGTATTCTTCTACATTCTTCTCCCTCTGTCCCCCTTGCTAGTCTTTCCACCTTGTTACCCTGTGTTCTCTCTTATCTCTCCCACTCTCTTGTCTCTCCAACTCCCCAGCACTCTGGGACTACACTGCACCTAGGCTGGTAGCAGAATCAACATAAGAAAGTCCTTCCTCTGCTCTTCAAACTTAAGGGTCAAAACACCATGTAAGCATTTTCCAAAGCCCTTCCTGACTCCCAGGGGCAAAATACCTCTTAAGGTGTTTTTCTCCTTTCCTCAGTCCAATAACTCAATCAACACTTTAATATTATATATTTTTGTATGGACACAGTAAGAGATACATTGAGGCTTGTAGGGCAGCTCTTCTGGGAACATCTTGCCAGAGACTCAGACTATAGAGCTCAGGCCACATTAATCTTTCCTAACCCTAGCAGGGTCCAAATCTAGTTATTACTTTTTGGATCATGACAGCATTTGTCCATGACCAAGCTCTTAATTTATAATTAAGCATTAGGCACTTTGGCCAGGCACATCTTGATGCCAGGGTAGCACATAGCTTACTGTTTGCCCTGGTTCCATCCAGTCCCTTGTCGAGACCCTGCTTTTGGGGGCACTAGGAAGTAAGAGCAGCTGAGGCTTAGTTCGAGAGAACAGATGCCCAGACGGAAAATATCACTGAAAGTCATGTTACAAAAGCATAGCATATACTATCTTCTTGTGTCCATAGAAAAAGGACATTGCTCTGAATAAGCTATGCAAAGGACTTAGGAAGAAAAGAAAAAACAATATTTACAAGTCAATAGAGCATAAAGAAAGAAGTTACAAATAAATATAGGAATGGGAGCACTGTGATGGGAGCAACCCAATAAACCTAAACTACCTGAGGCTATACAGGAAGGACAAAACAATGTTATCCTACACTCCATCTCCATCCAAATTCCAAGAAATTGCAGGATTTTCTCCTTCCTTGCAGCTATATAGTATTCCATTGTGTATATATACCATGCCTTTATATATAAATATGAATATAGATATAGGCATATCTATATATAATCCACTCACATCTATAATTTAACAACGAGTTTGATTCCATATCTTAAATATTGTTTTAAGTACTGCAATGAATAATGGTGTGCATTTATCATTTTGAATGGACATGTCCTGTGGTAAATACAAAAAAGTAGAATTGTTGAGTTGTGTAGCAGCACTATTCTTACTTTTCTGAGAAAACACCATAATGTTATTCATAAGGGTTGAACCAGACAACATTCCTACAACAGAAAATAAGATTGCTTTTTCACTACATCTCTGCCAATAAGAATGTTTCCAGATGTTTTGTTATATGCCATTCTCATTGGTGTGAGATGATATTTCATTGCTGTCTTGATTTGGATTTCACAAATAATAAGTAATAAGGAACACTTTTTCATGTGCTTATTGGCCATTGATCTGTCTTCTTCAGAAATGTGACTTTTCATATTTCCTTTCCACATTATTTGATAGTTTTTGTTGTTGATCTTCATGTGTTCTTTGTATATCTTGGATATTAAAACTTTATCTGATATGTTAAGTCTAAATATTTTCTCCCACTCAGTTGGTGTCTTTTAGTTTTAGCCAGTATTTCATTTGTTTCATAGCAACTCTTTAGTTAATGTCTGTTACACAATATGTCTCAAACAGATACTTGTATCTGTCCCCAAACCAGCTCCTTTACTTTATATCGCTCAGGTTAAAGTTTCAGAGTTCCTTTGCGTTTCTCAATTCTCAGTCCTTGTTCAATGGTATCTAACTCTACAGTGTTTCTATCTTCTCCCCAGGTTTCTATAATACTACTATGAAGAGACTTCTTGCCTACTCACCAAAAAGTAGGTTTCCAAGTAATTCCTGCACAGTTAATTTTTTTTTTATTATCATTCCTTTAATTTTTTTCTACACTTCTTATCTCATCATCCAAAAGTTTTCAAAACTATTTATCTCTAGCAAGTTCAGGGTATTCTCTTTCACATGACACTGTCTATGCATTATCATGGTCAATTTCATCTGCAAATTTCTTGAACAGAGTCTGTCTTTCCCAGACCCATTTACTGGTCATGAATTCATCTTCTTCCAGTAACACCTTTTGGAGATGCTATCTCTTCTTTTTCCTAACCAATGTTTTCTTTTCCCCTGTGAAATTCATACTTTTGCTTTTTTCCAACAATTCAGGAATCTAATCATAGTATGAGTCCTTAGAGCATGTTCTTTTTCAATTATATTTTAAGTAATGGAGTTACAGTAGCATTCATGTTTATGGTATTGATGTATAAAGTTACTGCACACCCCAGCAACCAAAGCGTCTATGACCCCTATTCTCCTACTCCTGGGTCTGTGTCACCTCAAATCTGACATTCCCGACAACTATAGTTCCCTTTTTCTTCCTACCATCTTTTCCCAGTTCAATTTTAAGTTTGTTATAAAACAGAGGTTGTCTAGTTATCTTTTCACTTCCAAAGCACATCATTGAACTTCCTTTACTCAATATTAATAATAATTCTTTTTGAAAGGAACAACTACTTGAAGTTTATGTCTCCTTGCTGTTCTTCTTAGCATATGCTTTCCCAAACATAATATAGAATTAAAATAAATCAAATTCTAAGCATCCCAGTCACTGAATTAGATTGAGGAATATGCCACTTCTCAAGGTGATGAGAAAATCAAATTC